TTCTTTCAATATGATATCTATACCTGAGAATATGGGCAGTGATAACACATCACTTATTTACCTGTGGTCACATTGGAGTCTGATGGGCCATGATCAAGGTCACCTTGTGTGATTTCAAGATAATTAATTACTTGTCAATTTATCCAGTTCATTGGCTTCCACCAGTTAAAGCTGTATACAGGTTAATCATCTCAGAAGTAAAACCTACAGGTAAGATAATTTGGCTGTCCCTTGGTCAGGAAATGACAACCCCAGGCATAATTTCATATCACAACAATATCATATTTACATTACGCCTGGTCTACCAGATACATGTACCACTTTCATCGGCATACTGTGATACAGTTGTGTTTAAGTCTAGTTCTGACGTGATGTCAATTATCAAGATATGGGATAAAGGGTGATACAGACATTGCTCTCCTGTGTGTGGGGTACCATTCCCGTTCACCAGTTTCACGAAAGAAAACTTAATTATGGAGACTCCTTAACTTAAAATTTGTGATGGACATATTACCAATTTTTATTCGACCTTTATCGTAATAAATCATGTGACATTTCTGTTTGTTTCACACTCATCCCATTATCCAAGCGCAATGGCCAAATATATCACATTCTTATGTGCCTCCTCGTAGCCTACAGTTTACTGACGTTTCTTCCTATGCCGTGTGAGTATATTAGTTTCGTTTTAGATGTTTTATATGCTTCTGTTTTTTATGCAAACCCGTTCTTGTCACCACAAACAAATCGACCGTTTGTAAGCGTCATCCGTAGCACTTCCGTACCGATTCCGTAGCACTTGCGTAGCATTCCGTACCGTTTGCGTCTGAGATAGAATAGCGAACGTATACGGGTCTGCAAACCGTATTTTCGTTTAATCATTTTTGTTTTATTATCATCAACAGTATAAACAAACATGGCATTCGCATGCTGCTTCATTTTCAAGATATCCCAACCTTGTGGTTGAAAATGTATAAAAAAAAATGTTACTTCAAATTCTATGAACAAATTGTTACAGATCAACAATTAAGTGTTTTCGGTCATAACAATACATTGTTCCTCCTTCCAAGTTCATCAAGAACGACTTTTTGATAGGTTTGTGATCACGCACACCAGTGTTGAGTATAGCATTCCTCTCGATATCTCATCATATTCTTATTCTTGAAAACATTCCTTTCACATGGAGACATATAGAATGATATATTTTCACTTTTACTATTCTAAAAATATAACTTTTGGAAAAGCAGAGAAAACGGTCAGTAGATCCAAATACATATGAAAGCACACTTTTGGAAGAGATGAATCAACTAACAAAAATAGCAGATATAGATATGTTGACATCTCTTTACATTAAATTAATATTTACATATACTGTATAATTCATGAATTTTCGAGGGACATGTTTTTTTGGGGGTTTTTTTATAACAAAAATGCACGAAATCGAATTCCCACGAAAACATAAATTTGATATAATATAGATAGGTAAAAATCAGATCGAAATTTAATGTCATTGAAACAGGCTAGTATATGAAAACCACGAAATTTTAACCCTACGAAAATAAATGATTTAACAGTAGTCTCTTTATCTCAAAGTTTGAGTTTATGATTTATATATATGTAACAATGATTAAAGTTGAATAGGTACAGTGACTTCAGTATATCATCCTTTTCTTCCTTCAGCTGATTTGGTATTATTAAAAGTTCATTTCACATTGAAAACACGTTTCGAAAATAAATCGATAAAATTATACATCCATTTCGTATATTTATATCTTCCTAGATATGGAAAGATAACCACATTCATTATCATAGTGTGGACAGAACAAGAGGTGTTAAGTAACTGCTACTACGGGTATTGTGTGCTGCTCTCCTTGTCATAGCGTCATTGATACGACTTGTCTCGGAGACTGCTGCTCCAAAAGCGACTGGTCCCCACCAGGATGGACGATCTTGAGCGAAGATTTCCAAAGAGTTTCTGGTCAATGGCAAAGTCTCTCAGTATGTCTTTGAATCGTTTTTCTAGCCTCCCTAGGAGCGAGCTACAGCTATAGTTTCTTCGTATTGGATTGCTCATCAGGCATTTTCGTCTTATGCCCAACACAGCGGAGTTATCACTTGAAGAGTAGTGTAAAAATGCTAAGCGTAGGTGTTTTCATAAAGATCTTTTTGTCGGGGACTTTATCTTGACATTTCAGTCTAAGCAACTTCCGCAGGCTATTGAGGAAAAGTCGGTTGAGTTTCCTGGCGTGCCTCTCTCTGGTACACTAGCCATGCCTCACTTGCATTATACATCGTATACTGCATGCGGGAATGTGCAGTACAGATACTGTGTTATCCATGTGATTTTACGATATAGAATAGTCATTATATCGTAATATCGTGTAATTATATCGGAAAATAATAAGTACTTAATCGATAATGATGTTGTTTGCTATAAGAATTCCATATATTGAATCATTAAATCTGAAGATATATGTTCATCATCGGAATGTGTTATTTAATCATAAAATAGTTTTTTAATCCATTTATACCATTTTGTTTACAATGTTTTTTATCAACAATTTGTTTCGATGAATATATATTCCGTAAAATGTTCAACCGAACGTTTCACAAACGCCTTTTGAATGGAAAGATATAAACGCAAGTGCTACGGAAACGATATGAAAATGCTACGCACACGGTACGCTGAAAGTGGAACAGCAAACGTGTTCTGGTCTGTATGAAGCATCATTTTTATTGGTTATCTAACAAACCGGTTCTAAAGTCCTGTGACAGAACAAAACTAAATACAGGTGACAGAATAATTAAAATTAGACTTGGTTTCGGTTCCTCATCAAGCTCTTCGTGACTCTTATTTCAATGTAGACCAGGACTACCCTCACAAGAAAAACACGATAAACATCAAACAGTTAACGAGTTCTTATAAAACAACTACAGCTTATATTTCAGAAGTGAAAGACTCATGTTCAACAGGTCTTGAGCTCGTACCCCAATGATGTGCAGTAAAAAATATTCTCTAAAGCTATTAATGTATTACAGTCTTCATGTTCTGACTTCGAATTTCGACAGAGAATATTAACAGAATATTATGAAGATTTGCATAGGAAAGATATTAAAGGCTATTGATTTCATATAGCGATAAAGACGTCGTAAAGGACTTACTCAGATATCATAGGCATTGCATTCGAGAGGTTTGAATACAACTGGTAAGGGTTTATAACACGTTTCCAGAAGTTATGGTATAGTTTCAAGAGCAGTTTGTTAGGTTTGTTGACTGAATTTGTGACTGTAAGCTGTTACTGACGAGTTTGTCTTCAGTTTAACTCATTTAACCACTTCATGAAATCGGCCATATCAATACAGAATGATTTAATTAAGATTACTTGTTTATACCCGGATCTTGTGTATGGTACAAACGTAGACCTAGAATGTTGTTTGATTTGTTTAGATTTGTTAGACACTTCAAGACCATGTGTTCCGGAAAGATTAGTGTCTTGTGCTTTATTGTTGACACTTGACTTGTATGACAGTTATTTATTACTACTTTTAAATCATCTTACTAATTATGGTATAGTTGTACAAGGCATGAGGTCTCATAAAAGACGGGGTTTTCTTGCGTTGCTACGGCCGTTGTCATAGACGCGTGTGTATTAATACAGACGGGTTCCGTCACCTCAGTAACATCAATGTTTATCTTTCTAAGTACTACTCTGTACCGGATTTTGAAATAAACTTTCATCAACTGCAAGGAATTACTTTAAGATCATTAATGTCTGAGTATTTATTATTAATTTTATCATTCAAAAAAATAATAAATGTACATGGAAATATTGTCGTTATCTTGCTTGGTCAGTTTCCTTTCATCCGTCTTCTTAAAGTAAAGCGTAAATTGCTTCAAATATGTGGCTTATTTTCTATGAATGTAACAGATCTGTATTCAGTTATACAAGATTCGCTATTAAATAACTTTGTTTTAGAGGAAGCACAAGTTTAGGTCGGTGACTGATATCAAATATTAATGTTAACCGGTCACGTGATATACCAAAACAAAAGGATATATGACCCCCAAATAATGTTCTTCGTGCCAGTAGCGATGCTATTTGACTACGTGACGGAGTAGTATATTGGTTTCATATAAGAAAGGGGAAATACAGACATAATAGGACTTTGAGTATTTTCAAATATTTATTAATGCATAGATGTTGATTCGTAATATCAAATTATATTTGAAACTAATTACATTTGATAAATTCCAACCACACATTTAAATAAAAAAAAGGCTAAAATAATAATATTTCAAAAAAAAAAAAAAATCAGTAGAGCATAATTAGTTCCGTGGCATTGAAATCAAAGCTATGAATATTGGGGGAAAAAATCCAATGCGGCCTCATTCCTCAACTGATATTAATCTTATACTTTTAACCTCAAAAGTTTACCAATGTCATATGTATTTAAACGGATTTAATTAAGCAACGTACCAATATTATTACCTATGACTCTTGGTTATTCAAAACAACTGGTTTAATTATTTTAACACAACAAGATCATTCAATATAGCTAACGTTGTAGTTCTTCACCTAAGCATGATTACTGCCCAAATATAATAATCCGAGGCTAGTTTGGCGTTCAGAGAAAATTGTTTAAACGTATTTAACACATTTCACCCTTTGACCTTGAACGTAGGGTACGGTATTTCATTTAAACAATATTAACCCCAGTAACCTTTAATATAGATCAATTTTTGAATTCAAAAAATGTCTAATGCCTTTTCTCTCATTTCCATGTGTATAAGATAGAGCTATCCATGGTAAGAAAGATATGTAAGAAATCTCCATCTTACAACCCTTTTCACGTGACGTGACGTCATAATTGTTCAACAATGACGTGACGTCACGAAATGGGAAAACGCCGATGCCGCAATGCGGAAAGGTGACATGATGAAATTAAAAGTTTTTAATATTTACCATACACGTGAAAAAGAAGAAATTATTTTTTCTGCGCTAACTCTGTTTGCTAATGTGTATGCTCAGTTTCGCTGATAAAGTCGATATTTTCAAAATGGAAGCCTCGGTTTTTACCTGTAAACCCCTTTGGTGGAATTTCCCTATCCTACACCCCTGGACATGAACGAGTCTTATAATATAAAATAGCTACCAGCCTACTTTTATGACTGTATGCATGTTTTGACATTTTGACCCCTGTGACCCTGAAAGTAGGTCGAAGTAATTTTTTCACAAACTTTGCTTATCCCGAGAAACTACCAGTGAAATATCCTTACCCAAGGCCTTTCCGTTATTTAGAAAAAGATGGTTCAAAGAAAATGTTTAGTGACGAAAGACTCTGCGTCATGGCATAGCATAGGTTCAATTGCCCTTTGGGAATGTGGGAAATACAACAATATTGATTGACGATTTACATGGTTTTAATAATACTTTGAAACAGATGGAATTCGATAAAAGGAGAGAATGGATTAAATTGATACCAAGTTATTATAACTGATTTATCCAATCGATTGATTACCAATATATGTACATACTTATACATCTCAAAACTAAAATGGTAAGGTCATAGATTGTTATTATTTATCTTTTCATTAAAAATCATCACAAAACCTTTTTTGATTGACTTTCGTTGGGAAGTGTTAATGCAAGCTATCACATCATTAAAGACAGTATTTGCAGGATAATTATAATAATTCTTTCCAATATAGAGGAACTAATTGTTTGATGCGACACTTCTGAAATGTGTCTAACGAGTTGGTAATGTTTGACCTATGTACTACACATAAAAGTTATAACAAATATAGTCTGATTCAAACACTTGTGTACTGTAGACGTTTCACATTATGATCAGAGAATACTCTGCCAAACACAGCCCACAGCACTCCCTCCGTGTCTACGCATACAGTCCGGGGACGTTCTATGTCAGTATGCAGCACTCTTAGGTATTGCCCATCGCCACTCAGGAGATGTAAGCATCTGTTGGCAAATTCAGCAACCACCAGGTGTCCGTGACTGTCGTATGTTACAGCACGGGGAAGAGTTAGAGACATAGATCTCCTGTAATGTTGGGATTCTCTATACCTGTATAACTGCTGTAGTTGTCTGTCCAGCACAATGACTGCATCTTTGTCCTTACCACCATCTCCTTTCTGATCTGTATCAACGACAGCGACATTGTCATTGATTGGACATTGTGATATACTCTGTGGTGAACGCACGATCGGTTTCTTGAACAATGATGTTTTGGTGCCGATACCGGGATTTCCTCTCGGAGTGTACTCGGTAATTCTATGTTTTGTTCCCACAAGGATACGTTCATCTCTTGTAACACACAGACATCGGGGTTCATTCTTTGTTTCGAATCTGCGGGTCAGTTTACCTGAGGTCAGCTCCATGACACTGTTATCGGCAGTAGAACATGCCCATAGGTTGTGTGTAGTAGGGGATAAAGTGATATCTTTGATGTCGACAGGACTTTGTATCTCCTGCTGTATCTCTCCTTGGCTGTTTAGGTGGGTCACTTTGTACCCGTAACTTGTCCACACGCCACCACCACTTTTGGGACACAAAGCATTTATTCGACATGGAGATTTCCATTCTGATATAATCTCAGTCTGAGGAAGAAGGACCTTTTCCGGGCCTTGACCTGTGTCTGTGTTCCCTTTAACTGATTGTTGATGTCCGGAAGGTAGCGGGTTATCATAAACTGATGTTTCATTTGATTGGTCAAGGCCGGTAGAGGACTGAAACTGTTCCGATGGTCTCAGGGAAACCTTTCCAAATGCCTCCTTCAAGATTGTATTCCTTCTGTTGTTTGGGGTGAAGTTGGCAGAACCTAACTTTGGTTTTTCAGGTAAGGTGATGTTTGTCTGAAGTCCTTTTGAAAGGTCAAACACCTGGATATCTGTGCTTGTCTGAAGAGTTTCCTTACAGTGTGTTAGTTGTTCCTTTAGGTCTGCTAGTTTTTTCTCAAGTTCAGTACTGTAACCGGTGAGCAGTTTAGTATTTTCTTCTTCTAAATGTTTCAACCGAGCTAGTGTTTCTGCTATCAAAACATCAATATCCTCCTTAAGTTTCTCCCCTTCCTTTTTTACTTCTTCCGCTACACTCTCGTAATGTTTCATGTCTTCACTCAGACTGTTCTGTGTTGCACTGATTTCCTGATGAATTTCAATCAGCTCTTTTTGCTCAGTTTCATTTATGAATGTTTTTATTCTACGTTTGTTGTCGGGAGTAACTTCACTCAGTAAGATAATATCATGACCTTTGTGTGAAGTGGACACACATTTGGCACATATGACGTCATAACATGTCTCACAAAACCAATCCAAAGTCTCGCCTTTGTGTTGTACACATGTAGTTTGATCCTTGCCGCGAACCAATATCTGTCCTTCATAGAAAGAAATCGCCTTTTCTGCCATTTCACTCCACTATTTCTGAGGTATTGCAATTATTACTATCATTATGCTATACGTATGTCAATACAAAAGTAGCGGATCGTTATGAAACTTATGTGATACAATGATCATCTTTAGTCTTTACTCTCAACAGTGATTATCTGCTTTCTGTGAATTTTCAGCATGAATTCTGTAACAAAAATAGAAATGAAGTCATTAAATTATCCCAAATATCCCAATTTTTTGTGCACTGAATGTTTAATCTTCAAAAGAACGTGATTAGTTTAATAGACCTTGCCACTGGACATGCAAAGTTCTCTAATAATTGCTGGTGAAAGTTGACGCTCGTAGCTACATTTACTTGCAATTAAGATGGCGCAATTCATAAACGGCAACTTTTATTTCATGTAAATCATGTTTGACGGACCTTTTTCAGACACACAGAAACTTAAATTGCACGAAAGATATCAAATGCAATTTTTAAAGCGTACCCATTTCCCAAATACTATTTTGGAAGTAGATACATGCGATGGTGATAACTGCATTTGTCAACATCAAAATTACACAAATCTCAATACGGTTGTCGAAGCTATCATTGTTAACACGGAAATATTGTTTTGTTTGAGTCATGAAACTCCACATCTGTTCTTTCCGCCATCTTTGAGGTTAGTAAGTGTAGTTATCCGCATCAACTTATCCTCAGGTGTTGTAATACTAAAACTACGTATTTTCGTTTAATGATTTACTATTTTTTACAAGCTACATATTTCACCGAACATGAATAAACTACCATGTTTTTATTGAAGATTGTTGAACGATTAATCATCATTGAATTTTATATTATCCTTTGGTCACGAAATTAATTATAAAATTAGCCAGGATAATCTAACCAGGCTAGTACCAGAATGAAGAATCGGAGTGTACATTGAGTTACGGCAATGACTCATGTGTATTTATTTATATATATATTTGGCGTGTGCAGTTGTCAAAATAACTGTTTGTCTTATTGTCTCCAATTACACGATATACAAGCATAGTATTTCCCTCCTGCAAAGTTTGATATGTGTGTCTTTTATTTTGGGAAACAAAAGCGACAAACTTTTCTATCCATTGTAACATTACCGATCTATATATTCCCCTCTTTCAAACTACTACTCAATTTCTAACACGTCTCCTGGCGATTTCTCGTTTTTTGGCCTTGGTTTAGTGGGTTTACCAAAGCGAAGACGGTAGTTAGCGTGATCACATGGAGGCGATACACATACATACCGTAAAGAACAACAATGATTGTGACAATATATGTGTATGTGTTGTCTTTTATATTGGGAAACAAAAGCGACCAATATTTTTCTTCTATCCATTGAAACATTTCGGATCTACATCTATATTTCCCCCCTCTTACTTGAACTTATTCATTTCCTCACACTTCTTTTGGCAATGCCTCACTTTGGCCTTGGTGCAGTGTATATTATCCAAGCGAAAAAGGTTATGAGCGTTATCACAATACACAAACATACCGCTTCCCAGCACACACACATACATTATACACATCAGATGGAGGCACATCCCTAAATGGCATCAGTTGTTTATAGAATGCTAAAGTTAGATTTATTTTACACTTGTATACAATTCCGTTCAATTCCTCACGTCATTTTGTTCCACCCAGATGTCCCCTGTAATTGTGCACTTTACCGTCAAACACATAAAGTGTCATTAGATAAAGTTTAAAACATTGTTTGAAGTGAGATAAGAATTCATTCCACACATAAAGTGATACAATACAATTAACAACATTAACAAATTGTAAACATACCTGTTATACTGTTTCTTCCACGTGTTTACAGGTAGACAGTCCTAGTTGCCGATGGGTTTACCTGGCCAACGCTATGACTTATGAAGCGATCACAGTGCTTTGTGTGTAAAGTAATATGATATAAGAGGTGTGCTTATACAGTTGACAATAATTCTACTTCCTTGTTCATAGTGCTCGCCATATATACTTACAAACAGCAATATAAGGGTAGATCGTGACAGCAAACCACTTATATATGTGTGTATGTATGTGTGTATGTATGTATGTGTGTGTGTTGCTCCACATACATGACACCTTGTGCTATTGATTAGCCCTGCTGGAATCGGAATGATCAAGTATTTCAAAAGTTCAAATAAAAATAGGGTGGCTTTAAACAGCAGCCATTATCATACTTCGAGCCGAATGAACACATATTTGATAATAACTGGAGCTTGTGTAAGTCTAGCATTACATTTTATTTAAAATTTACCAATGTTTTAATAAATACACAAACAATCATCTGATGTATCGCAGCAAAATGATATTGATTACACGATGCTATTTTAAATACAAACATTTGGAGGTGATTTTGAGTTTTTTTGATAAATGATCTTTTATTAACCTAACGCGTTATCTTACTTTGTCAGTTTATTTTGTTGGGCTTTTTAACGTAAAACGTTAAAATATTTCCGATGCGCTATTGGATTTGTATGAATTTTCAAACTCAATACAACATGTACATTTAAATCACACAAATAGGGAGGGCAAGGTTATATTAACAATATCAATGTTTAACTGACATATTTCAAAGTGTTCATGACCCATGATGTTCGTACTGCCTGTAGCAATAATTATCGACTACGTGACAGAAAGATAGACTTATATCATAAAAAGGAGATATATAGACAAAATGAGACTTTGAGTATCTTCCAACATTTTTTTATGGAATGCAGCATTAATGATGATTTGTAGGAATAGGTGAAGCGTCCATGTAAAAGAATAGATAAATACATCTGGCATGTGCCTGGCAAAGAGAGTTGATATGTGATACCGTGTGACCGTTATAAAGATAAAGCTGGACGTAAGCATTTGTTATACATGTATGCATTCGTGTTGGTCTAAAGCTCCCCTTCACCTGAATTTTCACACCTTGACGAGTTACGTAAGTGCCCCGGGTGGGGAAAACTACAGTCCAGGTACAGGTACAAAGTGGCTATGTTTACCTGGATACGTGACCTTGTCTATATGTGTTATTTTACATGTGTCCATTTAGGTCGTTTAAAAAACACCAAAAACACGATTTCTAAATTTAAGAAAATAAAGATAGAAAGATCAGCTTGTATATGTAGTTAGAATATAGAAATATTTTTAACAAAAGGCCAATGGCCACGTGGACTCGCGACTTTTTTCACATGCATTGTACGATTTTAATCAGCTGTCAAAAAATATTATGCAGAGTCCTCACGCTTATCCTCTGATGATAATATCAACACCTTCATGACTATAATATTCGCCAGTCAGAGATCCGGAGATACCCTCCCTTTGGCCTCTAACAGCAAGTCACAATGGCAAGCTGCTGGTTGTTATTGTTCATAAGGATCGATTTCAAAATAAATCAACTAATCGAAGAACTGAAAAAATAAACTATAATAGGTCTTGGGAACGTAATACGTTGACGTTGACATATGCTCAGAGAAGATTAGTAAAAAGTGGATATTAATGTTATGATAGAAATATGTTTAAGTATATAAGCATATTACTGTATTTTTTTTCTCGGTCGCGATATGTACCTTTGAATAAATTAAATGGGATATATATATATATATATATATATAATATATATATATATATAAAATATATAACAAATACATGTAGATCAAAAATAATCTGATAAAATGGTGTTAAACCAGGTTTGCCAATCATTATATAACTGTGATAACATATGTGATATCAATGGTTTTTGAAATGCCAATCATTTCTAAATATAAGTCCTCCCGCGTAATAACTGAAAGGGCCACATACCATTCTCAACCTTTTAAAGGAGTCTTTTGAGTTTAACATTCTTAGAATTAACAAGGTTGTCAAATCAAATTAATGATACAAAACCGAGTTGGATTTTAAGGTTCTTAAATAAATGATTATTGTGTAGAAACAGTAGGGATTCATTGGTGAGACCACTATGAGACTTGTAATTTTTACATTATATTCCTAATTTGGCACATAACTGGGAGGGGAGGACATATCAGGGCTAAGTGGAGGAGAGGCCTGAATCATATGTAAAGCGCTTTAGAGTAATTTTACAAATTATATAGGGCGCTATATAAATGTTGTTTATTACTATATTATTAGGATTAGGAATAGGGCAGTCGGCGAGATGGAAAGATGCTAATGCAGCAGAGAGGAGAAAGCAAGCACAGGGAGAGATCAGGCAACAGGAAGAGGAAGCAAGGAAGGTAAAAGCAGTGAAGATGGGGAGTCAAGGGGCATGGACCCGATGGGAGACGGAAGAGAGGAAGATGACATGGGCAGAGATCTGGAGATACACACCATGGCAGATACAGTTCATTCTCAGAGCTGTTTATGATGTGCTTCCAACACCGACAAATCTTCACAAATGGGGATTGGTGGAAGATCCTACATGTCACTAATGTGGAAGACCCAGAAATCTGGAACATATTTTCTCCTCCTGCGAGGTACTCATACTCTTGAGAGGGAAAGGAAGAAAACACATGAAATACAAAGGGGACCAACGTTCATTCGGTTCCACAGAGAGGAACAGACACCATCGGGAACAGCAAGGAATGCCAACCTGGGTATTATTGGAGGAGCAGGAGACTGGTATAGCGTGTGGATCTTGAAGGGAGGAAATTATTTTTTTACGGAGATCCTAGAGACAACACTACGACCAGACATAGTGTTGTTATCACACAGCAAGAAGAACCTGGTGGTAGTGGAACTGAATGTGCCGTGTGCCGTGATGGAGGATGCTCGGAGCCCTCGGTATCACGGGAGTAGTAAGGAAAATGGCAATGAGAGAGATGAGGAACGAATCGGAACGGGCATCACGATGGCTGTGGATGCGGAGAGGAGACAGTAGCTGGAAGCCAACCGTCGGAGAGTAGGGACTGATCACCCCTGCTGGCCCACCATCCGGAGAGAGTTTCAGGTTAGGGGTTGAAACCCTCGACGATGGATGGACCTGGCTGATGACGACGACGGTTGAGCAGCAACAACAACAGCTGTATTCAGGTAATTATTATCTTCTACGTACACGTAATTTTAAAATCTAAGCTGAAAGTACTTTAAACTGTATTGGTAATCGTAAAGGAAAACTGACAATGCTAATAAAATGTAGAGGTCCTTTAAATTCCATTCACCGCGCCGCGTAAAACATGCCTGTCCAGACCAAGCTGTACACATGTGGCCTCTCTATGGCTACATAGGGTGCTATATTTAGTAACTCTGACTTATCAACTTATTCGTGATTTTCTCCGTTATAAAACTATCTCTTGGTCGAAAAAAAACTATGTACCATCTGCCTATCTCAATACGAATGTACGGCAACTCTTGAACTTGTAGATGAAACATAAAGTAGTTAATTTGTCCTCACTAGGGCAAAATTCATTACTTCCGGGGAAAAAATGACTGCATAGGACATCGCAAGTCCAAAAATCGAGATTATACGTTTCAACACAAAGCCGTATATATTGTTAAGCCATTTCTCAATTTACACTAACCGCTATTGCCATCGCAAAACGTTCGTCCATCGTCCTCACAAATGTGCGAAAGCAATAATCGTTCAGATTTTAATCGTTCGCGCATCGTGCACACACCGTGTGCACACTACACATCGTGTAACGTTGTACGTTGTTCGATTCCACAATTGTACTTGACCCCTCTGACCTTTAAAGTACATGTAGGTCGATGACATTTTAATTCTCAAACTTAACTTATCCAAGGAAACTACCTGGGAAATGTCCTGACAGACGACGGATACGCGCCACAGCATAGCATAAGACCACTTGAGAACAGATGAGCTTAAAAATGGTTTATACTTTGTAGCATATGCAATTCATAGAAAACAGAGAATTAATTCAATAAATGCCAAATGATTAAGATAGATTCATCAAATCGATTGAGATTTTCTCATATATGATATATGATAACCTTGTGAGTTTGGATAAATAGCATTGTACATCTTTATGAGTTAGATAATTGGTATCTCCTATTACCAAACTAAATTAGTAAGGTCAAATTATGATATTATTTTTCATATCTTAAAATATATAAGCAAATATTTATTATTTAACTTTGATTGAGAAATTATAATTTGAATTATAACATCATTAATAGCAGAAGAATTTAGGAAGATACTTATAGATTATCACAAAAACTGTTTTTCATCCCTATTCTACAACCTTATATATTTCTCCATATGTTAAAACACAACTAAATACCATATCTAGCATAAATATAGGTGTAATGATCATTGAGATCCTCGATCTGAGACTAACGTAAGCAAGCAGAAGATATCCGCAGAGGAATACCATGAATCTTAAAACTATGTAGAAAGATATTTCTAAACAATATAATCGCCATTGGCTTCTCCATATGCACGTTTACTCTGGTGTTGCTACAATCACAATATTTTTTTATAACTGTATAATAATTTTCTATTTGACGGATTAATTTCTGACGCGGATCATCTTTGTGTGGATACTATGTCCAGTTCAAGACGTAATCTGGCGCAAGCGGACGTTCTGTTTTTGAGAAAATCCATTCTCATGTTGTTCTGAAGTCGTGCCTTTAGGTTGTTCTTAACTTCTTCAGTATTCGTCTACTGACAACTCACGATGATGAACTTCTCATACTAACAGTTTGTGCTATTAAGCATTTATCATTTATGGAATACCTGTGTGATGTATCACATCTCTTGGTAATGTTTGACTTATATACTATACATAATTGTGATAACATGTAGAGTATGGTTTAAACACTCGTGTACTGGAGACGTTACAAATCTTTTTCAGTGCCATGTGTACCAAACACCGCCCACAATACTTCCTTCGTGGCCACACATAAAGCCCA